CTTTCTCTATAACTAATTCAACGCATGGCTATATGGGTAATTTTGAACAAGTGGATCTTTCTCCAGGCTGAAAGGCTGCCAGAACGGAGAGAGAGCAAGAAAAAGAGGATTTCAAAGAATCAAAGAAAACCACCAAATACTCACGGAGCACCACTGTCTTACCCTAGCCCCCTTACAGAAGTGCATTGAGAGGTGGTGGGATGGAACAAAGCCCACATATCACTAGAATCAAGCGCTCTCGTACCTGGGACAGCAGTTGGAAACGATTTTGTCATCAGATAGAGCACCCAAAAGTGTAGAAAGTTTGAGTCTATCTCCTGGAAAGAATTTCAAAAGAATTATTATTTCTTCTCCACACGATTCCGTTACAGAATTTCACATAGCAGTGAAATATGAAATACAGATTGGAAATGTAAAATAGGAACTGCTATTGCGACTTTCATATATCACACTTAAAGAAAAAAACTTTTTAGACAAATATTACATTATACAAGTGTATAAATTATCATTGGGTCTTCTAAGTTTAGATACAGCTATTTAATTGAATCCAAGGTGTTGGAATAAATTATTAAAGAGGGCTCAGTCTTCTCGCCCTGTGAAATCTTGACAAACAGGATACATTCATATCAGCAGCAATACTACAAAAATAGAGGAGAGCTTTGATTTTACAAATGGAAATGGAGATACTTGCATCATATTTAAAAAGGGAAATTGACCAAGGGACTTTTTAAAAATCCCCTCAAATTAAGACAGTATCATTGATTATTTGTTGAACTTCAGTACAAAGGAAAAACAAGGTAATAACTGGGAATATGGTATGGAAGGTTCTTGGGGAAAAATAAGGGAGAAACACACTCTAGTAGGATCTAATGGTCCACAGGGTTGACTGACTTATTTCAGAGTCTAGAGCTTTGGTCTAGTGTTACTTAAATATTCCCTGTCAAATGTAAAATTGGTACAAGATCCTAGAGACTGGCTGGTTCTACAAAAGGAAACCAGCTGGGAATATATTCCCAAGAAATGGAATTCAGTCATGAATGGTCTACCTTTTCAATGTAAATCTTTTTATGTAAATGAAGCTGAATATAAAAGGAATCAGTGATGTGTTAGAAATAGTATTTAATATAATAGGCAGGATCAGGACTGGGATGATTTGGAATTCATTCATTTTCTAGCATTCTATAGTTTAGAATAAAGATATTTCTATAAATTAAGATAAAATGAAGGTTATTAAAAATGCAAAATAGTTAGATATACAGCTACTTTCTCTTAATTCAATGAGAAGAAAGATTTGTACTAATAGCGTTTGGACAAGATACCATGTCTGCATCTTGAACTATGAATAACCACTATGAAGACAACAAGATGCAATGTATTAATTATTGAAACTGTCCTGCTAATTGGTTTTGAAACTGTCTCATTGCTATTTGTTTCTCAAAATTAATAAAATAAAAGTATCAGACATAAAAAAGAGATCTCAAAAAGGAAAAATCATATGTAAAATGAGTATTTTAGTAGAATTATTTTAGTAGTAGAAAGATTTTACTGGGAAGTGATTACAGTCAGAGAATACACTTGGAAAACAATTGCAATGTTTCTAACATTATTCTTGAAAATGATATTGTCTTGAAATTTTAATTACTGTGCTTGCTTTTAGACATGTCCTTATGCTTTGTCTTCCTCCACTAATTCTGAGATCTTAAAGAGAGTCAGGACAATTATGGGAAAAATGCAAGGAACCAATTGATGCTGTTTTTGATATATAAAACAAATTTCAGAACTTGTTAAGTGTTAATAGTCTTACAACTTAAGGTTTTCAAGATAAGGATGAATCTAATTAGAGAAAAGAAATGATTTATATAAAGAGCATGGGTTCTTTTTTAAATGATAGGTTTAGAAGTATATACTTAACCAGGATGTTTTTTTTTTTTTTTTTTGTCTACTTAAGAGGCACAGACAACAACAATAAAACAGAATATGTCCTTTGTTGGGAAGGAAAAAAAAAATGTGAAACGAACAAACAAACAAAAAAAAAACAGAGTAAGTTATGTGTCATAAAGAACTGGGTCTACCTCCTGCCCACTGCTCAAATCAATTCCTGATAATTATGGTTGAAAGAAACTCCATCTAGTTTGAGGGATTCCTGGGGAGATAAGTATTTGGCTCTTTTCCAGAATATAATGGGGAGACCCCAGTATAATGGTTAAGACTCTAAGCCTTTAGAAAGGCTCTGCGTGGAACATGGAACCTATACTGTCAAAAAGAAGTGATTAGAGAAGCTCATCCAAGAAAATCTCAAGTCCTGGAAGAAAGGAAACAAAAAAAGGGCAAAAGAAAAGAGAAAAAACAAGCAGATACTGAGTCCTATGCAAGTGAAAGCAGGATGATCACAGATTGAGGAGTGGGCAGAAGAGGACGGTCCAGCCAAGGTTGTGGTGAGGCACAAGCCCCAGAATGGAGACAGGAAATCACAAGTCTCCTCAGAAGCTGAGGTGGGAGGGTGGTTTTAGACCAAGACTTCACAAAAGTATCCAAATCACACAGAGGCCCAGAGTTTCTGATCCTGTGTGCCTTGGGAATTTGTATCTGTAAAAAATTCCCTGGTGAGAGGATGTTGTTGCCCAAAGACCTCACTTTGAAAGGAACTGATTAGGCCTAACTTGGTCAGAGATATGGGTGTAACAAAAAATTCCCTCCCTATCCCACTCCCCACAATTATATTTCAGTTTTTCAGTTGCTCAGGTAACAATTCCTGTTCCAGTTACGGTTAGTCCTGTCTCTTAGAAATGGCCAATCACTGTGGTGCACATTGCATAAATCAATTGACAATTGCCAAGCCGTTCTGCCTCTGTACTTTCTGCTTGCTTATCCCATATAAACCATAGACCCCCAGAGATCAGGGCCTGCTAACCTGCGAATGATCCCCATCAGTCATCATTGATGTAAATATATCTGTGTTCATTCTTGATTTCCCTTTCCCCATCACAGTTTGTCTTTTCTTTTGAACAGTTTCTTCCCAGTTCACGATAAGGAAAACATATATGTTTATGTAGGAGAGTTAAGATTGTTATGAAGAACCAGCTAGATAGCTCAGCAGATTAAAGTGCTTGCTTAGGGACCAGACTTTGATCCCTGCTAGCCCCGCCCCAAGAGACTGAGAATGGATGTGGTGGTGCACACCTGTAATGCCAGCGCTTGGGAGGCTGAAAACAGGAAGATCACTATGAGTCCAATTCTTGTAGTGAGACCCTGTAGAACCTGTTCTAAAAACATAAAAGATAGTTATGCAGCTAGAGAAACTATATACTAGTTTCTCTTAGTTCGTTGAAAAGCCTTGTGCTAATATTGTATAGATAAGATAGCACACATATGTAGTCTACTCTGATTAGCTACTAGGAAGAAGACAGTACACAATACATCAACATTTTTGTTTTTCTGGTAATAAGAATCAAACTCAGGATCTTGGGCTTGCCAGGCAGGCACTATGCCACTGAGCCATGTCCTGAGCTTTGTGTTAACTCTTCTAGCTGTCCTAATAACCTGTTTTGAAACTCAGTTTGTTTTGTTTATCTTTTTTTTTTTAAAAGGAAAGAACAATTGGGATAGGGGAAAGGAGAAAAAGAAAGGAAAAAATATGTAACATAGCTAAGATTATTGTAATACTAATTTCTACTGGTTTGTTAAAAGGGACACAACGTTTGTTTGGTCAATCTTGCATTCTTGTATCTGGCAATGTGAGCAACAACATCAATGATAACAATATCATCTCTTTTCAAAATTCTGTATCATTTTTATTGTTTTTGTGTTGCTTTGTTTTTGGTCATTGCTTTGGTTATTTTCTCTTTAAAATAAAAAACAGTGTAAGCTAAATAAATCAGCCTTGAAACCCTCATGTAATTTTGGTATTTCCACTTGTTCATTCAATTTGATTTCATTTATTCAACTGAATGAAATTGAAGGCTGGGCCCACCAGATAGCTCAGTGGACTAAAGCTTCTGCTTAGGCAGGCACAGGGACAGGGGTTCAATCCCTGGTGTGCCATGCCAGCCCTGCCCCCTGGGAGTGCTGAGACAGAGACTGAGACTGGGTGTGGTGGTATACGCCTGTAATCCCAGCATGTGGGAGGCTGAAAACAGGAGAATCACCACGAGTCTGATCTGTGTAGTGAGACGCTGTTGACACTGTACTAAATACATAAAAAAAAAAAAAAAAAAAAAGTTGAAGGCCAACTCTTTGCCCTAATTGACCATCAGGGAATACTTGATGTTAAAATAGTCTGTCGAGTCTGTAACAGAGTGACGGAGCCTGACAGAGGCCATCCTGACCAGTCTCCTTATAGTGATTCCTAGCTCACAGTAGTGTCAGAGCCTCCCACTGTGACTCTACACCCATGTACTGAATCTAAAAAAAAAAAAAAAAAACAAAGGAAAAAAGAGGTCAGTGCTTCCTGAAAATTCCACCTTGGCATCCTCACTGGCCACTGCAGTTGCTGCCAACACCTATAGCTTCACTATCCACTTCCAACTTTCTACTTCCATCCAATTCAACTGGTTCCAGCTAGCCATTACCTGCATTTGGCCATCCTCCCCACCCCCATCCAGTGGGTCAGATGGAGTCATCTAATGCTCACCCAAGAAGACTTTCAACAGTTTCTTCTGGTTTCCACATTTTGAAGAGGAAAAATTGCACTGTCAACTCTCACAAATGAGTTACACCATGCAGGAACTGAATAGATAACACAGGCTGAGCTTCATCAAATTGGGCCCCTGAGGGCTCAAAGTTATTACAAAAGTTTGGGGAAACCTGTGCCTTTCCTGGTGGACTATGGGCCAGAAGCCTGTGCCTTCAAAAGTTTCCTCTGTCATGAAGTTACCATCACCAGGACACCTGGGACTCTTGCCTCTTGTCCCTCTTCCAGGCACAAATGTACAGCCTCAGAGGATGACTCCTTCACAACAAGCCAGTCATCTTCCTTCCTCCTTAACCCTGAACATTTTTTT